GACTCTCTCAGCGTCTCCCAAGTCGTCTAGCTCTCTCTCCATGTCTGTCAGGCCAGTTAGGTATAAAACAATTCGCTGGTGTGCGCGGTACCGCGGCTCGGAAGTAACGCTCCACACTCGCTCCACCCCCCCCCCCCTCGTCTCTCCGAACTACGGTTGCAGCTTCTTCTAAACTCTCATATAATGTTTGCAGAGGCTCTATATGTCTCGGGTTCCCTGCAGTAAAGCTGTCCGTGTACTGGAGTGGCGCTCATTTTCAACGAGCTTCGGCAATATTTTAACACAAACAATTTTTTGTAGAAAATCTCAATCACAGCCAAACCTAGACTTTGTGACTACATAAATTCAGCGTAAACGCCACAAAAGAGTGCCCTGACTACAGAGGAACGCTGTGATAAGGTTCTTGTTCGCCGGGCTTAGAAACTCGTCCCATCGCAGAAGCAAAATAAATATTCGACAACTATCGTTAAACGACATGAAAATTCCGTGAACATGGCGGCTGCTAGTCAATAAAAGTGGTTATTCTTCGCAGCACTAATCGGCATGGCAAACAAGATAACGAGTCAACGAAACGGAGCGCAACATACGCACTGTTTGGGGGTCACAGAAATAAAGAGCAGACAAAATTGCGACATTTTATTTACAAAAACAGTGAATAAATTACTCGTATTGTCACAGACAGAGAAAAAACTAGAGAACCTAATTGAAATGCGATTTCCGCAATAAAAAAAACCTCAAATCAAAAAGTGAATTTTGACCTCAGAATTACGCAAGAAATCAAAGATCGAATATTGCTTCAGAATCTGCTGAGATGAATGAGGACTTCGGAATCAACTATGAACAAAACCCGTCAACAAAAAAGGACTATATGACTTAAGGTTTCTTCACAACCTTTTTTATTAATAGCATACGTTGTTTATGCGCCTCAGTTGGCTGCGGTGTAATACGGTCAGGACGAATTGACGCTGGTGCGCCAAAGACATGAACTGATGCTCGAGGCACAGACGGCATCTTATACACTGCATCAAGTACAAACTCCACATCACGTGCCTCTATTCGATGAGTTCCACGATGTTTCACCATTCTGCACACATGGTTCACCAACACGTCCACATATTCATCAATATACTCGCACAGCATATCCTAGAAACCAATAATAACAGACTTAAAGCTTGATTGCTTTCGATGAAGGGGCGTCCGGTGAGGCTTGATTTGGCGCGCCAGTTCCTTCCCTGTCAGTTGTTGAAGCCAGTAAGCGACAACAATTGGTGGAAAGAGACTAATACCAACGCTATGGTATAGTTTTGTGCATGCTGGCTCCAACTACTGAGGGAAAACTTTGTATCCAGCCATCATAAGCACGAACAAAACAGTATGAAAAATCGATCGCTTTCATTGGCGCGAATACTGCTAACACCTTAAATCAGAACCAGAGTTGTCGTCTTGCAAATGCTAACACCTAATTGAGATAGTTCTTGGTATGTGAGTCAATACTCCTCTTACTCGGTGCACAGCGAGAAATTCCGGCACTATTCAACCCTTTACTGCCCCAACCATCCAGAATTGAGCCAGTATCTGACCGGACTTTTTCCCGTGGACGATTTTCTCTCGAATTGTCTGTCTCCTTGGTGTAGTTGACCCCGCTGATTTTGAATATGGCATTCGTTTTAGCCCGAGTGAGCTCGGTGTTCGTTCGAGCTGCTCTCCCTCTCTCTGGCGTGCTCGGGGTGATCCAGGCGTATTTTGGCGCCCAGCACTTTGTTGGTAGCGCGGCGTAGGCAGGAGGTTCCAAGGGCCGAGCGGATGTGATAATCGAGTTCAGGAAGTCAGACTACCCCTGAGAACAAGTTTTCAGCGAATTTGATGATTCAACGTATTTTGGGAGCCGGCGCCTGTGGCGCGGGCGCCAGGTTTGCTTTGGTTGTGCTGCTTAATATTTGTTTCAGGAGGTCAAAGCAGCCCAGGCAACAAATTTTCAGACAATTCTGCCAAGGGGAGGAATAAAGCGCCAGGTCAAAAATTAGCCTTGTGTGTGGCTGTGCTGTGAGTGGTGTGTGGGCAATTAGGGTAAGTAGATGCCAGAATTCTTCACTCTTCAAGTTAACGATGAATCATAAAGGTGTCGAGTGTGTCACCATAAATCCCGCTCGGAATGGTGTACCGCTTGGCGAGTAGCTCTTTCGGATCCGAAACCCGGAGACCCTGGTAGGGCAGTAGCGGCTGCTAAGCCTTTTCCAGGGAATGTGGTGGGTGTGTTATCAAGCCACAACCCCCCCCCCCCCCCCCCCCCCCCCCCCCCCCCCCTTACCGACCCAGTCGGCCCCCGACCAACGCCACCGCCCAAAATGGACGACCGTTCCTGGACGCTCTAATCGATTCATTTGCTAAGCAAATTATGAAGCGAAGGGATTGGTATGAAGCGGCTCGTGATGCTGCATGGATATATGAGTACACATATGCAGCCGTACCTTCCTCTGTGTGCTTGTTATTGACAAGATGCCTACAGGAAACTCGTCCAAAATTGATTTCTGACACATTGAGAATGGAGGCTCTTTCTTCGCAGGGTTTTGACCGTTTCACTCCGTTCTTTCGCCATTCCCACTATGGTAGCGCGTGGGTGCCCTAACTAGCATTTTGGCGAGCACCAAACTCATACGTGCCATTGCGCTTGTAACGCCATCGTTGCCCTATTTTCGGGAACGCAAGCTGTTTTTAATTCGGGCCCCTTTCTTCAACAAGCTAATCCCTCTCTCCCTGTCGTCATTCTGAAAAGAACCCTCCCGTTCCTGGACTAAAAATCCTCGCACTTGCAACTGTAAATAGTGCAAGCCCCAATCTAAAGCAGTGACAGGTGCAATCCAGTGGAGATCAAAGAGTCAAGAATAAAGTTTCAAGAACTAAATAGGCTCCTATCCCTCAAGCGATGTACCATGAGCTTTCACGAACTTTTCTTTTACTGGACTGTCACTTTCACTCCGCCACTGAAATACGAGCTCTCTGACAACCCCTGCACGAGTCGAAAAGAGTCGAAGAGAAACCCAGGGATCTCATCCCTAAAACTGAGCAGCTAAGGCGTTGCAGTGAATTTTCTGACTAAACAGTAGACTGTTGGCCTCGGAACACACGATTAACTCAAAACGTTCAATCTAGTTGAATAAATATTCCACCTAAAAAACCTAGTAAAACAACACAACATCTGGAACGTTAGTAACTCGGGAACGGTCTTACTAAATATTTTGTGATTTTCTTTATATATTTCTGTTTATGGGTAGAGTTGGTGTAAAGGGTGGCGCCGCTCACTACGCATGCGGTCATGGGACCGAATCCTTGGTGTGAGCAGAACCTCGGCTCCCACCCGGGCCCAACTTTCTATCACACTGGAGTCGGTACATTTCTATCAGACTCTCTGAGGATAAAATTCTCGCTCCACACGGCCGGCATTTCCAGATCCACATCGTATACCCAAGTTACATAGCAAGCACATAAAGCACATAATTACAGAAGAATCCTTCTCAATCTACACGTCGATAATTCTTGATCACACCATTTTACACTTGAGCCATAAGATCTCTCGCAAACAATGATTATCGGAAACTTAGCTTTATTACTATGTGAATGCTCAACACCTCTCCCCTAACCAGCTTCTCCCTTCCTTGGCGCTTCATGGAAGCTGTTTCAGCATGATAGCTGCTGTTTGACGCCAATGTTCCACTCCGAAATTATCACAAGAATGCTAAGTTAAAGTCAGACATCACGGGGACTCAGACCGGCATCTCCTAGTGACCGGGCTACAGTGCTTCAAATTACGCCACCGGGGACGCATCTAGCATCTCAATTCAACGGCTTCATTCAAGCTTGCCCGGTTTGCCCCTATGCATTTCAGCGGTGCTATTACAAGTCAAAGTACAAGCAAAGTTACATAGATTTTTAAAATAGTTAAGAATTAGAAGCTAATTGAAGAATTACGAGCAATAAACCTACCTTGACGACATCGTCCATTACCGTATGACTGCTGATTTGCCTTGTCAACTCGTCGATGCGTGCTCGATCCATCACGGAGCCTGTTGAGCTGGGCGGAGCCAGCATTTGCTGAACATTAGCTCCAGGAGGCGGTGGTTGACCACCAGGCAGTGGTGCAATCTGGGCCCGAGTCGGCTGAGGTGGTGGGGGTCGTGGTCCCATAATCGGCGACGAAGATACGTGAATCTGCTGTGGTTGCGGCGGAGGTCCAGTGTGGACGATTTGCATAGCTGGTTGGGGTGTACTGCTCACACGCATCATCTGTTGCGGCATAGGACGTTGAGCAATTTGATGAACGATTCGTTGTTGAGGAGGACCGTTCGATGGTTGCTGATAAACCTGCTGAACTGTTCGCATTTGTTGCGGTGCTGGCTGGCCACCTTGAGGATATGGCACTATGGGTGGTCCACGTCCTTGTTGAAGTTGCACACGGATTGGACCTCCGGCCCCTTGCTGAATCTGCTGCTGCTGTGGGGGACCACCTCCACCCCGTGAGCTCAATGCAGCTATCAAATGCGATGGAGCTCCGCCCTGATTTTGATTCGGCACCTGCTGGCCATCAGACATCGCTCTGAAATTTACGAGTAATGCGACTAAAAAAGAAAGAGAGACCAAGAAAGCAAATAATATGCGTGAACATGACGGCATGCTGAAAACAGGTGTAGCGCAGGAGATCTACGCCTCTGCGAGCGGCGCTGTAAGCGGGGGCCAACCACTGCCAGAAGTGCGGCATTCTCAGCAGGACCTTATTAATTCAATGTGGAGTTACTGCAGCAAGCAAGCAGCCAGGAAGTACTCTGCCACTTTCTGCGCTTTGCCGCAACATGGACCTCTTGCACGACACTTCGTGCCGGGGGAAATGTACGAAAACTATCAACTGTTTTGCTTGAAAGTAAAAATGACAGTACCCGAAACTGTATAGATATTAACAGAAAATAGTAATAAAATAATAATAGTATCATAATGATAATAATAGCAATAATACATAATAATTAAGTAATAAATAATAATAATAATAAATAGATAATAATATAAATAATCAGAATAATACTAATAGTAACAAAATAATACAAGACAATTAAATATAGTAAAAATAATAAAATACTAACATTAATGGCGATATCATAAATAAATAAAAAGCTTTTTATATCAAAATATACTGCCGCCACCATCGACATTACTAGATAAGCAAAGCGATATCAAAGACCTGTGAGTTAGCGTTAAAAGACCTGACCCCTACACAGTCACTCTATGTTTTCGTGACAGTGCTAACTGTTATCCAAGATAACCCATGAAGACAGCCCTTATAGCGTCTGACCAAAATGCAACGTGCGGGTCTCAAACGCCCACCGAAACCGCCCACCTGCAGGTGGCCGGACTGATCAGCATCCTTGGTCATCTTCATGGGATCAGCTGTTTTCACCCACACCTGCGGCGAAACCGCGGTGCATTGTAGGTTTCTCCAAGATTTTATGGAGAGATAGGTTTTTATTCGTAATAAAAATATTCCCACGAAACTTCGACCGCCGTTTCATGAGAGTATCATTAATATGTCCCAGTTTTTGTCCCAGTTAAAGGCGCTTTCTGATGTTGTACTGAGGCCTCCTCAAGCTTGAAATAACGCAATTTCACTACCTCGCGATCGCCGTGATTTTGTTGCCTTTAGATCGATCATCGCTGACCAGCGATGATCGTCTCAAGCTCGTCCACGTCCTGACTGAAGCGGTTAATAAGGGCCCGATTTTAGGCGTTTTCGTCACATTTTTTGCTTCACCGATCATTTAGTGCCCTACATTCGTTTTCTGCAGGAAACCAAACTACCGTGCAGACTACGCTCAGGGATATGAAAAAAAGGAAAATTTTGAAGTGTGCGTTGATCTGCTTCGCCAAGCACTAATCCAAGTCCCCAAGGTTTTCCGGACAGCACAAAAATCGAAAGAACAACCATTGAACAAAAACAAGAAATGAAAATTGCGATTGAAACAGAAATGTATGAGATAACTGTAGCAGATATTTCGTCAAGTAAGAAGCAGTCATCAGACATCACTTCACTGCTCACGATGTTCCTTTCTACATTCATCCTTATCAGCATTGAGTGACATGTCGCGTTACCTAACCAAGTCTGGAAGGGTGGTATCTCACACTTGTGATCGAAAAAGAAAACCATGGAGAGGTTCACAGAAACTTTTCAGCGCTTGAATTCACCAATTCTTTCCCGTAAAACACCCAACACGATCTTCTTGGTCAAGCTAGCTTGCCCTAATCCTCAAAACTGAGTTCCGGCACTTTCTTGCTGATAGCAGGTAGCACGTCTCTAGACGCCATCGTCCATGACACGCAGACATGTTCTGCCGCTGAGGAAAATATTTGCAAATTACGGCCCTTCCCTCAAAGTACCCCGCCGGTACTAACCGCACCCCGTCCATCTCGCTGCGCTCCCCAGCGTACGTGCCCTGTCAAGAGGGATGAAATGAGTACACCTGCGGCATTTTCACCACTGGTTGTTTTCGTTTTAATGATCATTAACCGACCACCATAGGTAGAGCAAGGCTTCAGGGGCAGGCTCATCCTGCCCCACCTGAAAACGCACCGTCTGACTGCGACGTTATCAGCTATGCGAAGACCGATTCTCTAAGGATATTATTTCAATTTCCTCCAGTCACCAGAGCACGTACCTATCCTAACCCACAATGGCATACCGGTCGGAACGAGGAAGTGCCTGCTGAACTAACTCATAGGGGCAGACTCCAGTTCAACAAAATGAATCCCCCTCAGGACGACTAAACGTCTCCCACACGAAAAGTATCAGCAACGAAAAAATATTTCCTTCAAAGAGTACGATTGCAGTTTTATGTCAACTATAGCCCTAAAGCAGGCGTCACGCAATCACTGGCACTATTCTTTACATCAGTGAAATACTGTGACGTAACACAAGTTAGGTACAAAACATATCAAATAACAAATCATTTATGTAACAATTATAACAAAATCATCAATAGGCCGGTGTGACCTCAACGGGTTGCATCGGTGGAGGAACAATTGGCATTCCCATTTCCTTCTTCTCAACCTTATGCTCAGAGCTTGGTTCAGTGGGGTTGGTTTCCGGCGTGGGTTCCAAGATCTGCACCTGGTCGGGAAGAGCGTTCTTAGGACCCATTTGGCCACGAGGATCGTGAGGAAGCATGATCTTGACCTTGATTCCGATAACTCCTGAAATGATATACAATAATTACTTTCAAGAACGGCCACATGCCACAAAACTCAAATGCTCAACATAGAACAAAAATGGGTGTTGGTCGGTTTGGTGGGGCAGAGAATGGTTGCCAGCTAAGCGTGTACAGGCCTCGCGAAAACCTGTAAATTCCTGCGAGCAAAGTGGATCACTAACACCGTTTCACAGGAGTTTACAGGTTTGTTATCATGAACTAATAGAAGATAATGTAGTGCTAGGAGTGCCAAAGCCCCCCCCCTCTCCTTCATGACGATCAGCTAACCAAAAGTGTTGCTTGTACCATCCTAAAACTTCAACGTAACAACAAGCGAGCATTCTGCATGATTTACCTTGGCGAAGCTGGAACGTGTCGGACTGCTTGCTGGATATAATCATTAACGGGGTGTCCTGAGTGGATCATGAGACCGTCGACGAATTTCATAGCTTTGGCACGTTGACCGCGCAGCTTTCCAGAAACGATAACCTGAAGAGATCATAGTAAATCAGACCGAAATGTGGAGGTAAAAGAACGTGAAGTATAGAAAATAACAAACTGGGAAACTGTAAGTGAATCATGAAACCGGTACAATCAGAAGGATTGCCCGGCGATTAAAACACTGGATAGTTTTGCAATCAGGGGATTAGGTCGAACCGTCAAGTAAAATGGTCAGCCTTGCCCAGACCCTGTGGCGAAACGGAGTAAAACACTGTAGAAAATACTTACCTCACAACCTTGAGCTTGTGACTCCATAATGAAACGGAGAACACCATAACAGGCACGGCGAACAGCAAGACCTCCAACGAGCTTGTAGCGAAGAGATTCGCATTGGGCAACGGCACATAGACCACGGTTGGAGACCTTTTCGGCATAGAGCTGAAAGATGAATAGTATCTGATATCTAGTATATATTAGTAGGACCAGCATCTGCTGACAAAAGGAGCATTTCTAGACACTTAATTCTGAAACAACCATCGAAAATCACGCATAACACATAAAAGCATGTAACTTATGAACTTCTCGAAAAGCTATTAGTTGCATACCTACCACAACGAAAGAGACGTTGACGCGCGATCATAGGTAACGCCCAATTCAAAAATAGTGAATCGGAGGCCTGAGTATCTGCGAAAGGAATCGGATATGATCTCACGGCATTTCTCCACTTGTGCAAAGTTCACGGTGTGGATTAATACGGGTCTCTTACATTTTCGCGCTCTCGATTTTCATAAAAACGTCCATTGGACTAGCTATCGTTCAACTTTATAAAGATGTTATCCGCGCTTTCTAAGTTTCCGAATCCTCAAATACCGGGCTCTTCTTCCTCCGGATCGATACATATGCAATACTTTTCGGCGATTCTCCGACATTTCACGATCAAGGAGAACCCGTGGATTTTGTATGCTCACAAAGAATTAACGTAGCCTCACGCTCCAGCAAAAATGGATCACCAAGCTGCTTGTCTTTCACTCACAGCAAGATAGCATGCAGAGATGTTGTTTACAGACATTGCAAAGCGGGCTTGTTCTATATCCTACACGGAAGCCATAGGAACGAAGGAAATGAACACAACGAGAAGACTACTGATGT